GTAATAAAATAATTGCTGATGTAATATTTACAAAAACGCAAAATAAGTAAAAATAAATATTTATATTTGAATACAAGCTGTTTAGATTGTCAAAAAGCCTGTGTTTTTAGGGTTATTAACGAAGCTCATGTACTCAGACCAGTAATATTTGGGGTCACAAGTTTTTGCCGTGGATATTTTGTGGGTCAGAAGATAAAAAGTTTGGGAACCTCTGTCTTAGAGTGTGAATAAGAGTAATTCTGAAATACCTGTTAAACTCTGTCTTGATACCTCCCTGCTATAAGTTATAATCTGTCCTTACCTGAGAAAAGCCTGCATCATGTTGTTCCTGCTGCTGCCAGGTTTGATGTCTCCTCCCTGACTTTGCTCTTTCTATGGTGGCAAAGATTTATTTTAAACATGTGGAAAAAAAGTGAGCACAACTTCTGCACAGACATTTAAAAGGATTATTCTCCCCAGCATTAACTAACGAGCAAGGATGTAAAAATGTAGGCCTAACAACTGCCTTATATTGTTAACTAGCTAAACATGATATATTTGCATCAATTAGCTAACATTAGCTGCCTCCAAAAGCATTAGTCAACTTTCAAGATTTGTTTGGGTAAAAAATGTTTTTTACTTTTGCTCTGCTGGTTCCTGACAGACAGTGGCCCTCCTCAGCAGCCTCCTCTGGTTGATTTGAAAGTTTCGGCGTCAGCATGGAGTTCATGCTCATGGTGCGTTTAAAGACGGCTCGGACAACACGAAATTTCTCAAATAATGATGGGAATAATACAATTTGTAAAAATATAGATGTCATTTAACGGACATAATTCAATCTAAACAAAAGCATCAAACTGGATTTTTCCTCTTCTGATCATTTTATTTTTTGTTCTAGACAGCATGGTTATACTAGCTCCGTCATTCTTTGATTTTACTGAACGCTTCAAATGGATCACAGAGGCTGTTATTTCTGCAAAAGGAGGATCTACTAAATGTTGAGTTAAGGTTTTTTTATGGTGCCCAAATTCATGCACCTGCATAATTTTGTTTTACCAGTTATTGCGTACTTTCTGTAAATCATATCAACTTCATTTCACTTCTCAAATATCACTGTTTGTCCCCTATATGATTTACAGCGGGCAAAATAAGTATTGAACACGTCAACATTTTTCTCAGTAAATATATTACTAGAGGTGCTAATGACATGAAATTTTCACCAGATGTTGGTAACAACCCAAGTGATCCATACATACAAAGAAATCAAACCATAAATGTCCAGAAATGAAGTTATTAATAAATATCTAATGTATATGTCAGAAATTGGAATAACGAGAATCACGTTAAGTTCAATACTCCAACTGTGGCTGCTTATCACGATAGCAATCC